CCAGCTGGTTTAGTGTTTCTATTTTAATATTTAGATTTTTGATCGATTTCACTTTTAGTTTAATGTGTGGTGAGAGATACAGGTCTAGTTTTAATCTTTGGCAAATTGAAAGCCAGTTTTTCCAACACCATCTACTAAGAAGGCTATTTTTCCTCCAGTGAGGGTGATTGGCTCCTTTGTCAAAGATGAGGTGGCTTTGTGTGTTTGGAGTTGTTTCTGCATCTTCTAATCTGTTGTACTGATCCTGAAATGTTTTTGCCAGTACCATTCTGTTTTTATCACAGTAGTCAAGCTATTTCTTTTTAAATATTGACCTTTAAAGTAATGTGATTCATTCGTTATACTCTTAAATTAGCCTTTGTTAATTTTGGACACTATTCCTTTTTTGTTTTGCTTTTTGTTACTGGGGATTGAAACCAGGACTCTTGTACTGAGCTACACCCAGTCCATTTTTAAATTTTGAAGCAAGTCTCACAAAATTGCTAAATTTCCCTGGCTGGGCTCAAATTTGGGATCCCCTGCAGTCTCCTAGAGTGCTGGAATTACAAGCATAGATCACCATGCCCAGTTTTGATACTATTCTTTTGGAGCAAAATTGTAAAAGTATTAGAGATCCAAAATGCCCCCCACAAATAAAAAATAAAATAAATTTAAATAAAAACATTAAAAATCCCCCAAAGGTCTCATGTATTCAGAGGAGGGGCTTTTGGAAGGTGATTGGATTGTAGGGGCACTGAACTGTCATTCCACTGATGAGTTCATAGCGAAATGTGCTGTTCCGATGTGGGGCTTGGATGAAACAAGTATGTTAGTAGGGCTTAAGTTTGGAAAAGGGTATATATTCCGCTTTGGCTCTTTCCTTTTCTGTACTTCCTGGCTGCCATGAGGTGAACAACTTTCTTCTGTTGTCCCCTTTACCTTGCTATTTCTGCCTTGATGCAGAATGCTCCCCAAATCATGGACCAAATTAAACCTCTCCTCATTAAAGTTGTCTTGGATATTTGATCCTGAGAGAAGAAACCACTCTTCCATATGAAATTGGACAACCATGAGTTAATTGTGTTATTAGGCAACTATGAGTTACCTATGTTATTAAGCAACTGAGGGTTAGCTAGGTAATTATGCTCTTTGTAGAATGTACCTAGGTAGCCATGACAACTTCTTTTTTCTGTCACCAAAGGAGTGTTATGGACTCAGAAAATCCTGCCAGAACTCTTTGCTCTCCCCCTTTCCACTGCTCTGCTTTGTGTAAATCCTGCTTGCTGTATTCCCAGGAAAACTCTAATGGAATTAAGTTTCATAGATGTAAAAAAAAAAGGTATATAAAGAAGTGCAAACGTCTGCTCAGGGCTCTCAAGACTGACAGGAGTCACTCACTGAGCCACTGGCCTCATTAAAAGCTGCTTTTTGTGCCTATCTTAGTGTTAAAGAGTTATCTGTGCCAGGATCCTCCTTGTTTCCTGCTTCAGTCCCAGTGACAGAAAAGTGCCTAACTACAAAAAGGAACCCTATATTCATTTAGTTGTAGGCCTACCGAGGCAAAAATATTAACCCAAATGGGAGTTACAAACCTTGAATAAGTGCAGTATTGTGTGTGTGTGTCTGGTTTTTAGAAATAGTTTTGCTCTGTAATTCAGTTTGTCCTTGAATTCACTATGTGGCTCAGGATGGCCTCAAATTCTTAGTAATCCTCCTGCATCAGCCTCCTGAGTGCTGGTCACAGGTGTGCACCACCGTGCCCAGCAAGTGCAGTCTTTTGGATTTTAGTAGTGTAGTTCATCTAAAATAATGTCATAAACCAGCATGGTGATAGAATATAATAGATCATGAAATAGGATATTTGGAGATTGTCTTAGTCTGTTTTGTTGCTATAAGAAAATAGCACAGGTTGGGCTTTATAAACAATAGAAACTTCACATAGTTCTGAAGGCTGGGAAGTTTAAGGGCAGGGTGCCAGGTGAACTGATACCTGATAAGGGCTGCTGTCTGCTTCCAGGATGGTACCTTATTGCTTCATCTTCACCTGGGGGAAGTGACAGAAGGGCAAAGGGTGTGTCCTTTAATCCCCTTTTATGAAGATACTAGTCCTATTCTTTTTTTTTTTTTTTTTTGGTTTTCTGAGACAGGGTCTTGCTATATGGTTGAGACTGACCTGGAACTCACTATGTAGCCCTCAGTGATCCTCCTGCTTCAGCCTCCCGAGTGCTGCCACCACACCTGGCTACCAGCATTCAAACTAGCAGAGATGAACTCTTTTCATTTTATAAATGAGGAAAGTAAAATTTTGGGATAGTTAGCACTTGCTTGTGATCAGCCAACAGTTAATAGAGCTAGAACTAAACTGTAGGTTCTTGTAGTTCAATCTTCTGTCCACACTGCTGTGCCTGTGCTTTTTGTCTCATTAAATAATTTATTTTAACATTCACTATATTCATTTGGGTATGATGGTACATGCCTATAATCCAGGAGGCTGAGGCAAGAGGATCACCTGGAGCTCATGACCAGCCTGAACCTATACAGTGAGACCCTGTCCAAAAAAAACAAAAAATTCCCTGGGCTTGGTAGCATGTGTCTATAACCCAGCACTTGAGAGTCTGAGGCAGGAGGATCACCTCAAGTTCAGGGCCAGCCTGAACTATATAGTGAGTTCAAGCCCAGCCTGAACTACACAGTGAGATCCTGTCTCCAAAAAAAAAAAATCACTATATAGTTATTCATTTCCATGAAATGGAACTTAGCTTTTTAATTTGTATTAGAGAAATAGATTAAATACCTAACACATTAACTGCACATTATAAATAGCAAATAATTACTGTGTAGCAAACAATTGCTGGATTGCCTTATAATTCTGGTGCCTGAGGCCAGCACTATTCCTATAACAGTAAGGTGATTTGGCCTGTGGGTTCTGGAGTCAGGCTGCCTCTGAATTGGAATCCAGGCTATGTGTGACTTAAGTCTGTTTCCTCATATGACAAATGGAGATAATAATAGTACCTATCCTTACTTGATTTTTAAACTTTCTTTTTTTTGGTACTGGGAATTGAATCCAGGGCCTCACTCGAGGCAAGCACTCTTCCACTGAGCCTTATCCCCGGCTTTTTTATTTAATTTTTAAAAAATTATTTATTTATTTATTTTGTACCTGGGATTGAACTCAGGGCCTTGAGCTTGTGAGGCAGGCGTCAGAATCACTGAGCTAAATCCCCAGCTTTTTTCATTTTATTTTGAGGCAGGTTCTCACTGCATTTCCCCAGGCTGGCCTCGAACTCATCATCCTCTCACCTCACCATCCCAAGTAGCTGAGATTACAAATGTATACCACTGAGCTTGGCTTCCTGTTCTTAAGAGGCTGAGGCGGGGAATCTAGAGTTTCCGGCAAGGCTCTTATCTCTTAAAATAATAATAGTAACAATAATAATACTATTAAGTATCATGTGTATTGAGAAGATTAAAACAGCATCTGCTCTTTATCATTTGAAAAGGCTATTATCTTTAGTAACTTTTTATTAAGAAAAAGATAGTTCTCCAGGAGAACATGTTATGTCACCACATCTTCCATATTAAAGTTTGAATTCTTTTGGTTTTTCTTGACCATCTGTAGACCTATGGACTTGACTTCCCTGAAGAGGAATCTGTCTAAGGGACGGATCCATACCACGGCCCAGTTCTTGCGAGACCTAATGCTGATGTTCCAAAATGCTGTCATGTATAACGACTCTGATCATCATGTGTATCACATGGCTGTGGAAATGCAGCGAGAAGTCTTGGAGCAGATTCAGGTTTCACAAATAAAGAGCCCCAAGAAAAAAGGGGCAGGGTAACCTCTGGGATTTGACTTTGGAAAGACTATTAAAATAAGGGTGCCGGGCATGGTGGTAACACCAGCACTTGGGTGGCGGAGGCAGGAGGATCACTGTGAGTTCGAGACCAGCCTGGGCTAGTGAGTTCCAGGCCAGTCTCAACTACATAGTGAGACCCTGTCTTAAAAAACCAAGACCAAATAAATAAATAGGGGTGCTGTGTCCTTCTGTTCCCAGAGTTTATTTTCAGACCTTAAGGGCTGATGTTGTACTTAGAAGCTCAGTAGGTCCAGTTTTAATACACAGCAAAATGAGGGAGACTAGAAAAGCAAGTGGCAAGAGCACTTGAAATAGACAAGTAACGGGGGCTTCTGCTTCTAGGGTCTCAAATTGAAGGCCCAAAAATGGAAACCAGAGGTTGAAGTTACTGGCCATTTTTCATTTACTACATCTGTTGGCTTTAATGTACATTCACAATTTCTCACCTTTAAAGGATAAGGTATATAGTAGTAGTTTCTCTTCTGAACAGTGTCATCTGTTTCGTTTTGTTGAGATAGGGTCTTGCTATATAACCCAGGCTGGCCTTGAACTCACTATGTCATCCAAGCTGGCCTCAAACTCATGGCAGTCCTCCTGCCTCAGTCTCCAAAGTGCTGGGATTACAGGCGTGTGCCACCACACTCAGCGTAGCCTCATCCTTTAAAGAAAAAAATATATAGTCAAATCTGTTTGCCACAAAGAAATAAAATTGCATTTAATCTTTTGTAGCCTGTAAGATTCATAGCTTTCTGTCTGTTCCTTGACAGGTGCTGAATATATGGTTAGACAAAAGAAGAGACTTAAGTAGTCAGGAATGAGTACCAGGCAACCCAGTAGATGGTGGAAATCTTTTCTTAACCTGAAGCTGCTACCACAACCATTTCTGAAGTTTGGACCTTCTCCTAAGGCTAATTACCTCACAACCAAGGAGCCTAAGACACCTGCAAGTCTAATATTTTTAAAGAGAGAGTGATGTGGGGGAACTGAGATTTGGGTTTATGCCATTAATGTTGCCCATGTTTTTGTTCCACAGACTTAATTTAGAGGTAGATGAAACATTTTACTACTGTTGCATAAATAAATATTTCATAAACAAGATTGATTTTTAATGATTATATAAGCTGAGAATAGAGGGACAGCATCATGTTGAAAGTTTGCTGACTCGGGTCTTCGTGTATATGCTGTCTGGAAGGGCTGCTGGGGAGAGTGTCTATGACTTGTCTCATATAAAGTGGGAATAGTTGAAGGGTTGTTCAGTTAGACAGGACATAAAGTATAATTTGGCCTGGTGGCACAGGCACGTAATCCCAGTATTCTGGGAGGCTGAAACAGGAGCTTCACAGGTTTGAGCTCTGCCTGGGCAAAGTAGCACTTAGCAAGATCCTATGGGAGACAAAGAAAAAAGAGAAAAAAAAGGCTGAGACTGTATGTCGGTGTGAAGGCCCTGGAGTACGATCCACAGTGCCCCCCCCACCATAAATTATCAGAAAACTTGTTCGAAAACATCTAGTGTGTTAAGATTCACAAGGAAAATAAAAATGGCTGAAGCTGATTTCCCCTGGTTAAAACTACTGCAAATTGCATTACTGGGATTGACCCTCTACAGCCACCGTCCTATGGCAAATTGGAGCTTCAAGTCTCCTAGCAACAGGTCCTGGTCGAGCTGGAAGGGCAGTCACCAAGGTGAGTGCCTGGGAAGTCCATTCTGGAGAGTGCCAGGGGGCCTGGGGACCCTGTTTTCCAGTCAGACTTTACACACAAAGTGAACCTAGCGGATCTCTTCACTAAGGCAGTTAGCTGGGGCCACTCTCTTGTTGCTAGAGTGGTGTGCAGTGTTGCTAACCAAACCAGTCCCCTCCTCTTTCCCTCCCACACAACCCTGCCCCACCACACCACGTTGCTGCCGCCACCAGGTCTCCCAATTGGTTTTGATCTTGTGATCTTGGTCTCAACTCACCTTGGGCACAGGAGGAATCATTGAGACGCTACTTGTAGAAAAATACACAGTAGTTTCTACTTTTATAAATTAATAGAATTTAGCAACAGTGCTATTCTTAATTCTTCCTTGAATTTGGGATGGGGAATGGATCTCATTACAGTTGATATCTGTCAAGAAACTTAGATTGTACCTGGAAAGGCTGAAATGGAGGTATCAATGCCCCTGCCTCAGATCTATGTAGAAAAAACTCTGGCAATTATCAAACCCGATATTGTTGACAAAGAGGAGGAGATACAAGATATTATTCTCAGATCTGGATTCACCATTGTTCAGGTAACCTGGGATTATCACAGTTTTTAAATCTTCCTCCTTCCTTTTAAAATTGCTTATGTAAATGTGTGCCTGCATTTAGATCTTTAATGTTAAGCATTTTGGTTTATTTTCTAAATATAAAAGTTATATGTGATAGTTGTTGACCCTTCAAAAAGGTATAAAATGAGATCGGGTGTGGTACCACACACTTGTAATCCCAGCGTGTGCAAGGTTGAGGCAGGAGGATTGCTGTGAGTTCCAGGCAAGCCTGGACTGATAGCTGGACTACATAATGAGTTCAAGGCCAGCCTGAACTACAGAGGGAGACCCTGTCTAAAAAAAAAGTTATAAAATGAGAAATGAAATGTCCTCTTCACCTGCCCTTTCCACCCAAAGGCCCACTCTAGAGAGAGGCAACCACTTAGCTCTTTCAGGAATTCTGTTTATAAACTTGTCTTCCTCATAAAATAGAGCTGTTCCTTCTCCAAACCCTGTTTGCAAAGTCCCTCAAATAGTATTCTAGATCATTGCATCTGAATCTATTTCATCCTAGTTTAAATATTTTAGTGAGACAGGGTCTTGCTGTATATAATTCAAGCTGGGCTTGAACTCATTATGTAACCCAGGCTAGCCTCAAACTCAGGCCAGTTTTCCTGCCTCAGCCTTCCTGGTGCTGGCATTACAGGCTTGTGCCGGCACGCCCAGCCCTGTCTCATCCTAACTTTTGAGAGATACTCTCCTGTACAATTCAGTTACCTGAGTTTTTTTGGGGTGGGTATTGGGGATAGAGTTTAGGATCTTAGGATCGTGCACTTCGGAGGCAGGTGTGATGCCACTGAGCTAAATCCCTGGCCCTAATTACCTGATTTTTAAGATTTATATACTTGATTTTCTATTGGAGGACTTTTAGGCTGTTGATTTTTTTCAGTTATAAACATTTAATGATTTAGGCCTTATATTTGTTCCACAGTTTGTAAACATTTTTTTTTTTTTGAGATAGGGTCTCACTGTGTAGTTGAGACTGACCTGGAACTCACTATGTAGTCCAGACTGGTCTTGAACTCACAGTGATCCTCCTGCCTCAGCCTTCCAAGTGCTGGGATTACAGGTATGCACCACCACACCCGGCTGAAAACATTTTTATTTTAGAAGTTTGAAAATGAATTTTAAAATGCAAAGATTATCAAACTAGGTATGGTAGCCCATGCTTGTAATCCCAGTTTTTCAGAGGCTGAGGTAGGAGGGTCACCTGAATTAGAGACTAGCCTGAGCTACAGAAAAAAACAGAAAAACAGACGGGCATGATGGTGCACACCTGTAATCCCAGCACTTGGGAGGCTGAGGCAAGAGGATCCCCACAACTTCCAGGCCAGCATGGCTTATATAATGGATTCAAGGCCAGCCTGAACTACATAGCGAAATCCTATCTTTTTTAAAAAGTATCAAATGAATATTTTAAGTATCCTATTTTGTATATTCTGATTTGATTTTTTAGTTTTTTATTCTTAACATATATACATGTCATATTGCCTAAGCAGTGTTTTAATATTAAAAGAAAAATTATCAAGAAACATGTATTTTCAGTTGAGTGTTCAAGCATAAGTAGAGGCCTTGGGTAGGGATGGTTCAAGACACCTTAAGGAAATATTTAATACAATTTAAAAATTCAGGTAATTAGGAAGTTTTTACTAACTTCAGCCAGGATTATAGGCCTGATCTACCATGCCTAAGTTGGCTTAGAATTTTTGTACCCTATATTACCCTTTAACTTTCGTGAAAAAAAATGAGTGCTTGCACAGGACTAATTCTAGCATTCTGGGAGTCTGTGGCGGGGGGTGGCAAGTTGGACCCAGCCTGGGCAATTTAGTGACTTACCAACACCTCATCTCAAAATTTTAGAAAGTGGGGTAGCTCGGTGCAGAGCCCCTGGGTTCAGTCACAAAAACATACACAGGGGCCAGGGATTTAGCTCAGTGGTTCTGATGCCTGCCTCGCCAGCACAAGGATCCTAGTTTGATCCCTGGTACAACAAATAAAAACAAAAACAAAAACATAACACAGAAGGGGCTGGGGATGTAGCTCAGTGGCACCATGCCTGCTTTGCAAGCACTAGGTCCAGAGTTCAATCCCCAGTACCAAAAAACCCCCCAAAATGCAGAAACCCTACTATTAATAATACATGTAATAATTAAGTACCTAGTGTCAATTATAAATTAAAAACTAGCCTGTATAACATTTTCCCTAGGGCTGGGGATTTAACTTAATGGTGCCGCCACCTGCCTTGTAAGCACAAGGTCCTAAGTTCGATCCTTGGTACCAAAAAGAAAAAAAAATACTGAATGTGAAACATTTTCCCTAATCAATAAATGGTAGGCCAGATGCAGCCATCATGTGTTCTATACTGCTGCTACTTTTTCTTAATTGTGAAATATGCATAAGATTTACACATTTTAATAAGCAGGGGTGGGGTTCAGTATCGTAAAACACATTTACATTGTTGTGCCCTGTCACCACTGTCCATTTCTAGAACTTTTTCATCTCAAACAGACACTGTGCTCTTATTAAAAAATAATCCCTGGGCTGGGGATTTAGCTCAGTGGATTTAGCCCACTTCATAAGCGCAAGGCCCCAAGTTTGATCCCTGGTACCAAAAAAAACAAAAAACAAAAACAAAAACCCTTCTTCCTTCTCTTGGAAACCACTATTCTGCTTTCTTTCTCTAGGAATATGAGTTCAACTATTTCATATAAGTAAAATCATACAATTCTTGTCTTTTTGTACTGTTGTAAAAATAGGCTTCGCTGGAGTTGGGAATCCAGTGAACATAAAGCTTTCTTGCCTATTTAGGGGAAACATTTGAAAATGGATATATCTGTTCAGTAGGTGGCAGTCTTTCCTTTGTTACAAACTAAATTCTCTTCCTAAAAGTATTTGATATCCCTGCTTCTCTTTGTGTCAGCCTGACTTCAAAAATTTTCACCTGATCTAATTTTTTAAACACCAGATCTAATTTTAAAGCAACCAGTAGAACCCTTGATTCAGTATCAAGTGAATTTAAAGATGAACCCTTAATTTTAAAAAATTATGCTGCATCAGCTAGCATGCCTGTGGAAGGTAGCGTCCTCTGTTTGGTAAGCATGTGGCACACTGGGGATGGTGGTAGAAAGTAGGTTGTTGGGGAAAAGGGGTATCTGAGAGCTAGACCTCTCCAGAGTGTGCTGTGGAACCCAGGAAAGCTACATTACTGCTGTGGGAGGAATTTAACCCCATGGCTGGCCTGGGAAGTAAGCAGATTTCATTTTCAAGATGAAAAGCTCATCAGACTCACCTATGCTTTTACCAAATACTCCACAGGCCTGTGTGAATCCACCATCTCCCCTGCAAATAGTGTAGTTCACAAAAGCAAACTTAGGAGTGCAATACTTAGATTAAGGAAAATAAGATTTTCACTTAATTCCAATTACAGTGTCATATAAATCTTCAAGCAAAAAAATGAAAATGTTCACTTTTTTTCAAAGAAACCATCTTCATTGCAAAAGTTTGTAATGGACTGGGGATTTAGCTCACTGGTTCTGCCGCCTGCCTTGCAAGTGCAGGGTCCCAAATTCAATCCCCAGTACCAAAAAACCAAAATAAAACAAAACGAAAACACCATAGGACTGATACAAAAGTTTGTAACATAGGCTGCTTTTGAACTCATTGTGTATCCCAGGCTGGCCTTGAATGTGTGGTAATCCTCCTGCCTTAGTCTCCTGAATGCTGAAATTATAGGTGTGCACCACCACACACTGCAGTTTTTTTTTAAACTGAAGATTGAACCCAGAGTCACTTCACTGAGCTCAATACCCAGACTTTTTAAACAAATTAAAAAAATTTTTGAGGCAGGGTCCTGCTAACTCGTTAAATTGCTGCGCTAGGCTTGGCTTGAATTTGTAATCCTATCTTCTAGAGTGCTGGTGTTTACAATTTCTAGAAAGTTTTAAACACACAGTGAATTTGAAGAAAATACATATTTTAACAATACCTTTAAGAATATCGGTGCAAGCTGAGTGTGGTGACACACTTGGGAGGCTGAGACAGTAGGATCACTGTGAGTTCGAGACCAGCCTGGGCTACATAGTGAGTTCCAGGTCAGTCTCAACTACATAGTGAGACCCTGTCTCAAATAAAAAAAAAAAAAAAAAAAAAAAAAAAAAAAGTGAGTCTGAATTACTTGACACTTGCTCACACCTTGTTAAAAACTGATGAAGCAAGTTCAAGAGAAGGATCTTTCTCAAAGACTGAAACTAGTCAAAATGTACAAATCAAAAATTGACCTCAGTTACAGTTGTTAATAAGAAATTGAGAAGTTGTAGCCAGCTGTTGCCTTATAAGTTACAATCATCTATGTCTGAAAAAAATAAGAAATTAAGCCTAATTTAATAGGCTGCTATGTTCAATATACTATAACAAATAATTTATAGATGTTTATAACTTTTTCTCCAGAATACCTTTTAAAATTTTTATTTTGCAGTGCTGGGGATTGAACTCAGGGCCTGCAAACAGCTACATCCCAAGTCCTTTTTAAAAATTATTTTATTTTATTTTTAAATTATTATTTTTTTGGTACCAGGGATCAAACTTGGGGCCTTGTGCTTGTGAGGCAGGCAGCAGCACCACTGAGCTAAATCCCTGGCCCTAAAATATTTTAGGATGAGATCTCAACAAGTTGTTCCAACTAGCCTCAAATGGGCAATCCTCTTGCCTCAGCCTCTTGGATAGCTGGAATTATAGGCATGGACCACTGGGTCTTGCTGAGATTTCATTTCTATACTCAGGAAGAAAATAAAAATGAAAGCACCAAGTGTACCTAAATAAATATTATCATGTCTTTTTTTGTTTGTTTTTTTTTTGGTACTGGGGATTGAACCTAGGCCTCTGTGATAAGGTATATCCTTGCCTTTTTTTTTTTTTTTTTTTTTTTTGGTACCAGGGATTGAACTCGGGTCCTTGCACTTGCAAGGCAGGCCACCGACCACTGA